AATAAAATACACTGTCTAATAAAATGAGCAAAATCAAATTATCAAGTTAAGAACTGACCCTGTAAATTCAATAAAAAACGAATTGGAAACAGAATTATGTGAGAAATAATTTCAGATTTCCGAGAATTACACATGTAATAGATACAGTTCAAATAACACGAGGTACAGACATCATGCTGACAGATAAATTGATGATATTATGTAGAAACATAAATCAAGACAGCGCAGTGTCAAATCTTTGAGATTTAACACGGAATAATTTCTATTCAAGGATGGACACAAACCAAATTAACAAAGGATTATCTTGAAATGATTCACTTAATCTTCGATAGAGATAACGTCATTTTGCAACTTGAGAATGGGACTTAAAATGACGTAGACAGGGGTATACACCACCTACCCATTTCCACACGTACAGGACAATTCATAAATCCCTCCGGAAACCTCGACAATAATTTAGAATCACTCTGTATATCAAATGGCTACAAGAAGTACTGTGATTATAAATTTTTAGGTGGAATTTCTAGTAAGTTTAAAGTCTGTGTTTAATGGCGCGACAGGATCCGGGATACCGTAGTCGGTATAGTGACTTGCTATGGGCCGGACGACAGAGGGGTCAGAGTTCGAGTTCCGTTAGGGTTAAGAATTTTCTCTTCTGTACGTCTTTTAGACCGTCTCTGCTGTCCACCCAGTCTCCTATCCAATGGGTAATAGAGGCCTTTCCCAGGTGGTAAAGCGGCAGGGGCATGAAGCTCACCACTCACCTCCAGCTAGTGCCTAAATCAAGAAAATGTGGCTCTATATATTTACTTCTCCATACACCTTAATGACGCAATACTTAAATAATTAACACAGAATTTTACCTTTACCTTTACAGAACTGAGCGATAAAGAAATTTTCACGAAATTGGGAAGCAGTAATTCCCTTTATCACACGAGTTCATTATTACCCGGGGCTTTCCGCTCTCAGTTAAGCGTCCCTTAGTTCTGAACACCATTTCTAAGCCCTGCTACTTAATTATCTTTCTGAACTGTTCCCGTTGAGTCTCCTACATTTGCTATTCGTTCGGATGAGATTCTTGTGTCCTCTGTCTCTAGAAAAATTGCCTAGCTGTTTCACCCTCTTTCACTTATTTTCCTGCATCACAAGCTTCTGTATCTTAGACGAATTTTCATCTGTTTCCAGTGCTGAAACGAAATGTAAAAGCCTAAAGCTGAAAACTGGTGATGATGTGGAAACAGCAGTTGAAGGATGGCTGAAAAAAAGAACACCAATTTCTGATTACTTACTTGCTTACTTACTAAGGGAGCTAAGCCCTTCTTGAGGAGCCGCCAATTCTGCAGCTACTCAAGATTTTACCAGCTTTTTATGGAACCCAAAGGTTCATTACCGTGTTCACAAGAGCCCTCCACTGGTCCCTATCCTGAGCAAGATCAATCCAATTCATACCATACCATCCTATCTCTCTAAGGTCTATTTAAATATCGTCCACCCAACCACGCCTTGGTCTTCCCAGTGGTCTCTCTCCTACTGGTATTCCCACCAATATCCTCCATGCATTCCTCTTCTCCCCCATTTGTGCTATATGCCCTGCCCACCTCATCCTCCTTGACTTGATCATTCTAATTACATTTAGAGACACCAATCTGATAGGAAACATTATAAGGTAAAGCCTAGGTACAATGATCCCGAAGTTTAATTAATTATCACGCCATGAAGAAGCATGAGGGAGTGAAGTTAAAGCTCCACAATTCTTAACCTCAGCAACAGAAGGAAGTGAGTGGTCAGCTTCGCGCCGCTGTCACCATATGCGAGGAAAAGTAAAAAATTATCCGCACCTTCGCCATAACACATCTTTAGGTCTGTCACACTGCCTTCTGCGCATGCATGCTTAGAGTTGGTACTACTGTGGTCACATGATCGTAGTTTCACTTTGATCGTGTCATTTTCCTTGATGCTGTGACAGTTCAAACATGGCCGCTCCGCTGCCAGTGTGCACCAAGGAGGAACAAAGATCAGTGATCAAATTTCTCCGGTTGGAAGGTGTGTCAGGGGCTGAAATTCATCGGTGGGTCCATCACTATGAGCCAGAATTCAAAAGCCAAGTATGGCGTGGAAACACCCGGGATCGCCAACGAAGAAGGAAAATAAGACTCAATCTTCCGCGGGAAAGGTGATCCTAACCATTTTTTGGGACTCAAAAGGGCCTATACTGGAAGACTATCTGGAAAAAGGGTGTACGATCAAAATGCAAGATACAGTGATTTTTGAAGCCAGTTATTCACACCAAAAGCCGAGGCATATTGTCGAAGAAAGTGTTGTTGTTGCATACCAATTCACGCCCACACATGGCCGGCCAGACCGTTGAAACCATTAACCATTTAGGTTTCGAGGTGCTAGAACACCCTGCCTACAGCCCAGAAACCCTTCTTCTTGCATGGAATACGCAAGCTTGGGGACCGCTGCACCAAGTGCATCGAAAAGGAAGGAGAGGGTTGCGCGGCCAACCGAAACCCTTCTTCTTGCATGGAATACGCAAGCTTGGGGACCGCTGGGCCAAGTGCATCGAAAAGGAGAGAGACGATGTAGAAAAATGACGTACTTGTTCAATCCCTACTTTGGGGTTGGATTGGATTGGAGTTTTAATTGGAAAAACAGGAGTGCGAATAATTTTTTACTTCCTTACGTAAATATTTCAGCTGATTTTTGTACACAACCTAAAGATAACGAATTATGACTGAAATTTATTCTATGTGTGATGGACAGTATTGTAGCAGAAGACACGTTACTAGGCAACAGTTGCTAAAAACACGTCTCCACAGCAATGAATCAACACGCAATAGTGGAGGTACTGTTAGAAACCGTGTTTTCTACAGTGATCCGTGCCCTCCATCTTAGGGGAGTCCCGAATGGGAAAGTAAAAGTTGATCATGAGTCCCGCGGGATTCGGAGCCGAGAATAACTGTGCTGGTGAGGCCCAACAGCAACAGACCCATCCCCGTACCAGTGATGTTTTTATGTTATTACTATAACAGCAAGTGTTCAGTTAAAAAAATATTGGCGGTAAGTCTTAACGGGCTTGGAACCTAGACGAAGTGATTGACGGTAAACGGTCAGTCATAAAGTGACTCTGACTATGACTCTGACTGAGTTATTTTAGAAGGGAGCCGCCATTCGGAGAGGACTTGAGCGCAGAAGCACTGGATTAGCTGTTGTTACGAGCCCCTACTAGGAAAATACTAGTGAGGACACTGCGCGTTGTAGAATACTTAACGTGTGTGACAATGGTCTGTAAGTTTGATTTGTTAATTAACTAACCTTCTGTAACGGTCTGTAAAGTGTAGTCAAGAGTCGTAAATGTATAAGTGGTCAATAAATTCAATATCTAATCCAAAGCCCCGTCCATGGTCACTTATACATCACAACGTGACAGTGTATGTCATGTCTGAATCTTCATGGGCCTGTGTGCAATAATGATTTACGTAAGTAAAGTAAAATGTAAAGGTATCCCTGTAATATGCCTCTGAGGCCCATAGGGTTGTGAGATGTTGATGTTCCCATATTTTCTAGACAATCGGGTCATAGATGGCGGTAAGGTGGTCAGCCCTACGCGCCGGCCGCCCTTTACCCCTCAGGAAGATTCCTGGTACTCATTTCTGTTAGAGTCTGAGTCGATCCCAGGGTCATTGTGCGGCTGGAAGGATCAGGTAAATTTAAAAAATCCAATTACCACATCGGGATTCGATCCCACGACCTTCCGGGTTGTAGCATAGTGCCTGTTGGGTTTTATACATATCAAATATAGTGCGAAACATTTCAAGATAGCCTTGCACTACCTGATCTTCCACCGTAGAAATATTTATTGTTCTAAATTACTATAAATTTTTATTTTGAAGTAAAACTGCTAACTAAGACTGTTGTAGACTGTATTAAAACCAAGGGCAATCTAAAATTAACTTATGACAAGTAAGCATATTCACCCAATTATTTAATATTTATCCTACATATATTTTTCCATAAATATTTATAATATTTTAGCCAAATTTAACAGTCAGTCTTTTAAATAATTTGAAATAAACACAGAAATGTTCTAAAATATAACTTACTACACAGAACTGTTGAAAATATATTCTTCTAAAAAATCAATGTATAAAAATATAAAACTTACCACTCAAAATATAAGCGAAAACACATCATTTACTAATTATAAAAATGAGTTATGTTTTCGGGCTTGCGGTAACTATGTGCCAATATTTCTTTGCAGAAATCAAGAATATCCTGGTACCAAATCAAAATAGACAAACCACTGGTACGACTCGTACATTATTTGCAAGTGGCCCACACCGTTCAGGTCCAATGCTGAACTCACTCCGATAATCTCAACAATTACAGATTATGAAATCATGAAACTGGAATTTATATTTAACTCAATTCAAATAAGTGTATCTCAAAGGATGTAATCTGCCAAGCTAAGTTCAAAATGGTAAAATGAATTTCCAACCCGAATTTACGAAGAACCCGGAAGTAATTTTAAACAAAAACAAAATATATTGAACTAAGAAGTTGTATGTAAAAGTGTGGCGCTTAAAAGCAAAAAATTAACCTAACATTTATTTACTATTTATTTGTTGACTGTTCTCTACGTTCGACCATTAGAAATATAGTTCCGTCAATTTAAATATTCACAAAATTTAATACGCTTAAGTGACGACAAAAATTTGGAAAACCGAAAGGCACAAGTTGAACAATTCAGGTAATTTAAGGCAAACAATCCCCAGACCCAGCAGGTTCTTGTCAGATTATCACTGTGTCCTTGTAGCAGCAGATAAAATATATCGAATGATAAATATCTATGTTCATGGTATCATAGCTCAAGCGTTAATCACCAGCTTCCCACACCTGCGGCCTGGGTTCGATCCCAGGTCAAATCATGTGGGATTTGTTGGTGAACAAAGTGGCACTGGGGTATGTTTACTCCGAGTACTTTGATTTCCCCTGCCAATTCTCATTCCAACAAATGCTCCATACTCATCTCTTATCGGAGCCTAATACAATAAACCAATTATTGGCTGACGTACCAAGTGGATTCAGTCTCACCCCAACCCCAAGAAACTAAAAGAACTGATGTATAAGTATTTCCATTTGAAATCAACACAACGGGGAAACTAAAGATAAATGTTTCGGAAACTGTGTCAGTGTCCACCACATGCGGCTCATGTGATGGATACGGAGTCTCCGAAACGTCCTCGTAAAAAATTACTGTTACGAAATCTCAAGGAAGCATGGAGGGAGTCAAAATCCGTATAGATTTGTAGCGTCAGTAAAGAAGAAGTTTGTGTCTATTACAGAGATTTAACCCGGTAGTGAACAACCACGTATGCCCGTGAGAAAATTCTTCTTCTTCTTCTTCTCCTCCTCGTCCTCGCACTCTTCCTCTTCTTTCTTTCTTTTTTTTCCTGTTCTCCTCCTCCTCCTCCTACAAGTTTTAACAAAGTAGAATCACGTGGCTTAATATTGATAACAAATAAAGAATTCATAGTTCAAACACTTTCGCAGAGAAGTCAGCAATTATGAACTTGTTATCCTGCCGTTGCCCCTTCCATCATATCCCACAAAGATGACAGTACTGAAGCTAGGGCGGCAAAACTGGAGTTTTTTGGTCAAACTGCGGTTTATCACGGAGTCGAATGGCGACTCGAATCTGGAAAGAAGAAAGAAAGAGACAATAAACATGTGTTGGACGTCTTCAATTGCGACATTTCAACTCTGTCTACGTCTTTCAGGGTACATCATACTCCAACATCGTCGTTGGTCTTTACGTCACACAACAAACAAAAACAAACTCCGTGGTTTTAGTCCGCAAGAGAACTATACCAACACAGCGACCGCAGCTTGCCGCCGAAGTTAGTGCCAACATGTCACTAAGGTTTATTCAAAATGGTCATCCTCGCTAATGTTAAGAATGTGTGGAATTTCCCTTCAATTCCCTCTACATGGGGGCAGCTGTAGCATAGTTGGTTGAGGCACTATGCTACAATCCGCAAGGTCGTGGGTTCCATTACCGACGAGGTCACTGGATTTTTCAATTGACCTAATGCATCCAGCCGCACTATGGCCCTGGAGTCGACTCGGTCTCTAACAGAAATGAGTACCAGAAATCTTCCTGGGGGAAAAGGGCGACCGGCTGGCGCGTGAGACTGACTTCACCGCCATCTGTAAGCCAACTGTCTAGAGAAGTGGGAGCCTCATCGTCTAACCCAATGGGCCTCTACAGCCTGTTACAGGGATACCTTTACCTCTACCCCCCACATGACCCGGTAAGGCGGGGAAGGAGGTGACCGATTTCTGTCAAGGCTTTTATCTCTTTCACTTAGAAATATGTCCAGCATTCACCTTGTGCAGAGGTCAAGAATGGTGGAGCTACAACTCTACTCCTCTACACGTCTTCATAGCGTGGAGCTTAATTAAGCACAGGGACAACTTTACCTTCTCATGGGTAGTAAGAAAAAATATTTTTCTTCCACTCGGTACGCGTCGTGACGCATTTCGTCTAAACTTGTCAAAAGTCAAAAGTCGCATGTCTCGACCTTGAGGTAGAAGTAAGCGTGGGAGTACCGGAAAACATGTCTTTCAGAAAAAGGAAGAGAAAAAAAATGGAGTGGTTCAGATTATTTTTGAATAACTTGTAGTCACGTGTTTGGGACTGTATATTTATAAATATATAAATACATACAAGTATGTGTGTGTGTGTGTGTTTGTGCGTGGAGCAAGTAGCGACCTTACAAACCAATACCAGTCGACCTTTCGCTCTGTCAATTAAATGACATTTAGAGAACTTCATATAGAACCTAAGAAGTTATAACTTTCCCCGCTGCAACTTAAGAGTGTAGTGCATAACAGGATTTACATATGTCGTGGAGATAAAATTAAATTCTACAGCCTCAAAATTGTGTAAATTATTCTTTTACTACTGGTTACACCTATTAGACCTGGCACTTTGCAAAACAGATATACATTCGAGATAATTAATCTCTCTTGCTGCACCTAAGATGAGTCACATCCAGAGAAATACCAGTCTGAAATTATTAAGTCAAGGAGGATGAGGTGGACAGGGCATGTAGCACGAATGGGGGAAACGAGAAATACATATACTCGTAGGATATTGGTGGGAAAGCCAGAAGGAAAGAGACCACTGGGAAGACCAAGGCGTAGATGGGTGGACAATATTAAAATGGATCTTAGAGAGATAGGATCGGATTGATCTGGCTCAGGATAGGGACCAGTGGAGGGCTCTTTTGAACATGGCAATGAACCTTCGGGTTCCATAAAATGCTGGGAAATTCTTGAGTAGCTGCAGAATTTGCGGCTCCTCCAGAAGGGCTCAGCTCCATGAGTGAGTATGTTGAAAATCTGATGCTTGAATTCTTGGTTTCCTTTATCAAGAACGCATTAAAACACGTTACTAAAATTAAATAACCACGATAAAAACGTGAACAAGGAACCAAACCTGATTCTCACTGACTTAACTGTTACCACGTTAAAATCCTTGATCTGCGCACCCACCATCTTATTCGAATCCTATTATAGATGGAAATGACAATTTACAGCTAGTCAGTCATCAGTTAATTAATTATTTTGTTACTGAGTTAATTATTAACCTTCATTACTCCAATACAGTGTGTCTGTAACTTAGAATAGATAACACGTGTGGCCTACAGACTGATTTCAAGATGATAAACATTGTGTGACGCTTAAGGAAGTGGATAATAATGTGACATGTAGACCCAATGCCAAGTAACAGCCGTCACTAGGGAACAGCTCTGTGGAAACGCTCTATCCCCGAAAAAGAGAGAACATGCCACAATCGAAGCGGTGTTTCCAATACGGTCCGTGTCGGGGCTATATTACGAGGACTAGAAAAGTAGAGGTATCCCCGTAACAGGCCGTGAAGGTCTATAGGGTTGTTACAGGTTAGGGCTCACACATCTTCTAGACAATCGGCTCACAGATGGCGGTAAGGTTGTCAGCCTTACGCGCCGGCCGCCTTTTACCCCCCAGGAAGATTCCTGGTACTCATTTGTTAGAGTCGACCCCAGAGCCATAGTGCGGCTGGAAGGATTAGGTAAATTGAAAAAAAAACACCTCATTGGGATTCGAATCCGCGACCTTTCGGCTCGTAGCATAGTGCCTCAACCAACTACGCTACCACGTACCCCCACGAGGACTAGTTAGAAAGAGCTAGTCTCAATCACTGGACTACTCAACTGAGTAGGTCTATCTTGCCCCATCCACCTGAGGACGGAGACAGATCCAGTCTCCGAAACGTTTTGTCTTATATATACCAGACGATGGATAGAGTCCAAAATAAACCTTATAGTTCTATACGATTCTATAAGCGTTCAATAAATCCAATTACCAATCCAAAACCCCGTCTATAGTCACCAAACACGTGACAATAAGTAGGTCCTTCAATAACGTTGGAATCGATGCCTGTTTTACCTTGGTTCTGTAAGGCCAGCAGCTGGTATTAAAATTCCGCTTTACATAACGGACCTGCTTAGCAGTCCATTTGAAACGATGTGTTTATATAAAGCTGATTTCTTTATATTCCTATGGGAAGTGAAATGTAATTAGTGATGATGGGTGATCATGTGTATCAATGCACTTTCAAAGAGATATAGACCAGTTCTCAGTGACCTATATAGAATTACTCAGACCAGTGGTTCCTTAAGGTCAGCAATATTAATCCTTTTGCATCTTGACCTTCACCTGACACTTTGCCTGAGTGACTATATACTTACTTACTTACTTACTTACTCATGGAGCTGAGCCCTTCTTCAGGAGCCGCCAATTCTGCTGCGACTCAATTATTTCCCAGCATTTTATGGAACCTGAAGGTTCATCGCCGTGTTCACAAGAGCCCTCCACTGATCCCTAACCTGAGCGAGATCAATCCAATCCATACTATCCCATTCTATTTCTCTAAGATCAATTTTAATACTGTCCACCCACCTACGCCTTGGTCTTCCCAGTAGTCTCCTTCCTTCTGGCTTTCCCATCAATATCCTATATGCATTCACCTTCTCCCCCATTCGTACTGTATTCCCTGCCCACCTCATCCTCCTTGACTTGATCATTCTAATTACACCTGGGAAAGAGCACAAGTTATTAAGCTAATATTATTACTATAATTAAATAAAAAATTTACGAGACTTGACAGGGGTAAGCAGTAGGCATACGGGCCATGCGAAATGCAAACAAATGTTTCTTCATAAAACATCAATATAGANGTTTTTAGATAAATATTTTGTGAACTGCAAGATTAAGCGAACTTAGAATAGGTGTCAAACGGAAGGGATTTTTTTTAATACGAATATGAAAATTTCGTAAAAGTAAAGAATTTCTGGACCATGTGACTAAAATATTAATTGGTTTAGTGCGTTAAAGCTCATAACTTAGCTCCTTACTGTCTTCTAACGTCGGCCAGTTAACTGACTTTTATACGGTTATTTACATTAAGAGTAGAGTCCTAATGCCTTGGGCAAAATTTATATAAGTTACGAGTATAATATGCCTCGGCCAGCAAGTGACAAATAACATAATTTGTGTTTTAAATGTATCTGTTACTTTTTTTCCGCATGCCGCGACAGACGAACATGCGCAGAATAACAAATGATATAAATGTCCCCGCTACCAATCAGTTATACCACACACCAAGCGTTGTTCCTATGGCGAGAGAGAAACCGGTCAAAGCTGTAACGCCGGATGAGTATCCTGTTTGATAGGCACAAGGCCTTACACCAACACAGCAGATCGAATAAGAGCACAGGTTTTACATGCAGCTACAAATATGTCTACAGTGACTTTGTTTGTAATTCAAATAGTTCCTCGAATTCTCTCTGATCCTGGCCGCACAGCTGCACGAATCAGAACATAGATGGAAAACAAAATAAGGACAAAGAAAAGGACAGAGTAAGGAGAATATGAAACAAGAAAAGAGCGAGGTGGAGATTGTGAAAGTTAATATGAGGAGTGAAGAAAACAGACATAGGAAGATAATGAATGGGAAGATGAGAAAAGAAAGAAGCGGTAAGAGAAACAGAATGCGGAGAAGAAGATGAAGATGACGAAAAAGGAGATATAAGTTAAGATAAGAAAATAGACAGATGAGGGAGAAACAGAGAAAAGGAAGCGGAGAAGATGAAGGGGAATGAAAATAAGAGAAGACAAAGTGGAGAAAGTCGATATGACGACGGGTTACGGACTGGACTGCAGGCTTTCGATTCCTGGTAGGGCAATTTTTTGGCCCCTCCATAGCTTTCAGATCGGCCCTGTGGTCCACCCAGCCACCTATACCGAGAATTCTTTCCTCTGGAGTAAAACGGCAGGGGCGTGAAGCTGATGACTTGACGGCAGTCCTCAAAGAAAGCGATGTCAAAGGTTAGACAGCCACGATCACCATTACTGAATCGCCATGCAACGAGGAATTCCGCGGTCAAGAAAGACGAAAGCATAAAACTTCAGACGACGCTGAACATAAGAACCAAGAAACCAGTAACATCCGTCCCGGGAGTAAGCGGCTCGTAGTTGCAGTAGAAGAACGAAGTTCACATGTGGAACTTCTTCGCCCCTTGAGATCAACTGAAATGGAGGCTAACAATGCATAAGAAGCGGACGAATCCACAGAGGGCAGAATCCAGC